CTTTTTCTTTTACTGGGGTCTTGGTTTTCATAACCATTTGTCCCCATAACGAGTGGCACTGGTGGTAATACTGGGAAACTGGAGTGTCTAAAGAGATTGCTTGTGAGACTTGCGGTTAGCCAGTGGGGTGAGACCAAAGTCCTCTTAGTCTGGCTGGTTTGGTTTGCCTTAGAGGTGGAAAAAACCCCAGCCTTGGGCTGTAACTGCCCTGTTTGAGCAATTTGTCCTGAGTTGGCACTCTCAGTTGGGTTCCGCCAGAACTGCATTGTCACAGGGGTCATAGTGGATAACAAGCTAAATATGAGTCAACAGTGTAACTCTGTTGTAAAAAAAGCTAACATCATTCTGGGATGTATTAGCAGGAGTGTTGTAAGCATGACACGAGAAGTAATTCTTCCACTCTACTCTGCGCTGATTAGGCCTCAACTGGAGTACTGTGTCCAGTTCTGGGCGTCACATTTCAGGAAAGATGTGGACAAATTGGAGACAGTCCAGAGAAGAGCAACAAAATGATTAAAGGTCTAGAAAACATGACCTATGAGGGAAGATTGAAAAATTTGGGTTTGTTTAGTCTGGAAAAGAGAAGACTGAAGGGGACAAGATAACAGTTTTCAAGTACATAAAAGGTTGTTACAAGGAGGAGAGAGAAAAATTGTTCTTCTTAACCTCTGAGGATAAGACAAGAAGCAATGGGCTAAAATTGCAGCAAGGGAGGTTTAGGTTAGACAGTAGGAAAAAATTTCTAGCTGTCAGGATGGTTAAGCACTGGAATAAATTGCCTAAGGAGGTTGTGGAATCTCCATCATTGGAGATCTTTAAGAGCAGGTTAGACAAACACCTGTCAGGAATGGTCTAGATAATATTTAGGACTGCCATGAGTACAGGGGACTAGACTAGGGCCTTGGCTACACTTGCACGTTATAGCGCAATAAAGCCACCAAGTACACTCTACCTCACTCCCCATCCACACTGGCAAGGCACGTAGAGCGCTCTGACTCCGCGGCTGGAGTGCTCCTGGTACTCCACCTCCCCGAGAGGAATAATGTTTGTTGCACTTTTGCTGGAGCGCCGCGGCGCCAGTGTGGACACCTAATGCGCTCTGCCTCCGGAAGTGTCCCACAATGCCTGTTCTAGCCACTCTGGTCATCACTTTTGAACTCTGCTGCCCTGTCCTCGGGTGACCAAGCGTCAGACCCGCCCTTTAAATTCCCTGGGAATTTTGAAAATCCCCTTCCTGTTTGCTCAGCCAGGCGTGGAGTGCTCTCAGCGCATCTTTCCAGGTGGTCATGCCTCCACGCGCCAGGCGATCCCCAGTATGGAGCAATGGTGAGGTGCTGGACCTCATCAGTGTTTGGGGGGAGGAAGCTGTGCAGTCCCAGCTGCGCTCCAGCCATAGGAATTACGATACCTTTGGGCACATATCAAGGGCCATGATGGACAGGAGCCATGACTGGGATGCGGTGCAGTGTCGGGTTAAAGTAAAGGAGCTGCGGAATGCCTACTGCAAAGCCCGCAAGGCAAACGGCCATTCCGGTGCTGCCCCCGTGACCTGCAAATTCTACAAAGAGCTGGACGCGACACTTGGGGGCGATCCCACCTCCACTGCAACGACCACCATGGACACTTCGGAGCCCAGGTAAAAGGAACTGCAACATCAATATCACTGTATTTTTAAACATGTAGCCAGGCTGAATGTCAGGGTTGGATAAAGCCATTCTTAAGTGGAACCCTATGCAGCCCTTCATGAGTAGCTCCATCCATTTCTGCAGAATTTTACATTAAATTTATTTTTACATTTCTAGACTTTGTGGTTGTAACAAGAGCAAAAAACCATCATCCTGAATCTGAAGACAGAAACAGGAGCTCTAAGAAAGGTATGTACTGCACCCATTCTTAATGGAATGATAATGCTAGTGACTAATGGTGACAATATAACTGTCACCGTCGTTAACTACTGTATATACTTGTTCATAAGCCGAATTTTATTAGTAAAAAAGGGAAGCACCAGAGAAGGGGGTCGGCTTAAGAACGGGTATAGAGAGGGAGATGTGGGACACAGCCCCTCCCCCCAACAGAGGGAGCAAGGAGAGGCAGCACAGCCAGCAGAGACAGAAGGGAAGAGGCGGGGCCAGAGTCTCTCCGCTTCTGGCCACGCTGCTCTCCCCCCATCCTCTGAAGCAGCTACAGCTCCGGAGCTGGCAGGCTGCAGCCATGCTGCTCGGCCCCACCCCCCAGAGCTGGCTGTGGCCATGCCACCCGGCCCACTGGAGCATGCTGAGGCCGTGCCGCCAGGCCCAGCTCACTGGGACATGCTGCGGCCACACCGCCCAGTACGGCCCGCCGGAGCAGGCTGCGGCCGTGCTGCCCAGCCTGCCGGAGCAGCTCCAGCCAGGTCAGAGACATCCTCCCCTGGCCCTCCCCAGATAAGGTGGGAAGGGATAGGAAGGGGAGAGTTTGGGGGTCCTGGGCTAAGGGTGGGGTCATGTGGGGGTTACTCCCCTGACTCCCAGCTTCTCCCCCACAAAAAATTTCCCCACCAGTTGCTGTCCCGGTCCGTCAGGGTAAGCAGCATGCATGCCGGGACACTTTATTTACTTAGGTTTACCTCCATGCCTGTGGACCCTCGAGGTAAACAAACCATCTCGGCCCACCAACGGCTTATCCTGATGGCCCGGGAGCCAAAGTTTGCTGACCCCTGAATTATAGGGTCGGCTTATGAACGGGTTATAAAAATTTACCATTTTTAACTTATCCATCTGAGGGGGTGGGGGGGGGGGTTTGGCTTATAAAGGAACCGACTTATGATTGAGTATATACGGCACTAATTTTTAATAGAAGCAACCAATAATGCTGGGATTGTGGATATTTTAAGAATGCCACCACCACCTTTTTCTCCATCAGACCCTTGCTCAAATGGGACTAAAAATTAAAGTAATGGGAACAGTTGAAGCCATTTGTTTATCCTGACAACATTCTAGCAGAAAAACTGGGATTTTTAAAATGTTTGTTGGCTGTTGCATCACAAAGTGTATACACATATCTATGACCTACAGAAAGAGGGAGGATATGTTCAGTGTCTGTGTAGACAGATAGTGGACAGGAGACAAGAAAGTAGAGATGAGTGGGCAAATGGGGGTGAATGGGTTAGGGTGGGGGCAAGAATGAAGAAAAGGAAGGTGTGACAGAGTGCTGGGCAACAGCCCCTGAGCCAGCACTCTGGTCACTGCAGCTCCAATAAATTACTGCAGAACAAACCTCGTTAAGAAGAGCTGTGCCTAACTGATGGGTGGAGAAGAGCTAGAAGGCTAATGTCAGACAGAATATACAAAAAGGCAGAGCGAGGAAGCAGACAGAGAAAGATCGCTCTTGCCTGCTTGCCTCAGGAACTGAGGGCTCCCTAAGACTGTAGGTGTAAGGCTGAACAGTGTACAAGGGTGGTGGGAACCAACACTGTAAATAAATGGCACTGGGTGTTTTACCAGCATAAAGGTAAATATCTGAGATATTTGTGGACTTGAGAAGGGACAGGAGTGAGCAGGGCCCTGAGAGAAAAGGTTAGAACAGAGAAACCAGGGATGCAAGAGAAAATCCATGCTTTTGAACCACCACAATTCTTGGCTCCGCCTTGTACTCCTGACAGAATTCTGCGTCCCTGTGGGGGTGCAGAATTCATATGGTCTGCATATTTCTGTGCCACCCATACAGAAAAATGCAAAAGAAACCTGCGGGGGGGACATGCGCCTCTTCCCCAGCAGCCCAGGCAGCATGTCTGTTCCAGCATGCCTGGAGCAGCCTCAGAGACACAAATCACTGCGGGGGGGGGGAAGAGGGCTAGGTGTGCGTGTCTGCCAGAGAGATGCTGATCACCATCAGGGGGCCAACAAGCGAGAGAGACTCAGTCCCTCTCGATTGCTACTGCGGCTCACCGGACGTGGAGGGGGGTAGGTCTTTTTATTATGCACGAGGAAGGCTTTGTCCCCAAGGCAGAAATGTAGCAGCCTGCCTGCCTAGTAACATGTTTGTAACTTCTTGAGAATCTAAAAAACAATTAAATATTAGTATCATGTTACTGAAAATTTGTTTTTAAATTAAAGAAAATAGCTTTTGTAAAACAAAACCGTATTTTGTTAATGTAGCTGTTGATGGTTAATTTATCTCATTCCCTGAGGCAGAAATGTAGCAGCCTGCCTGCATAGTAACATTGTTAATGTTCCTATGGTTAGTTAGCTGTTCCCATTCTCAATCAATTCCCCCAGGAGCATAAAATCTGTAAAAAATTTTAAGGCCCCTACATTGCCAAAGTGATGTAAAGCCTTATAAATGATAATAAGGAGATAGCTAGGAAGATCTCTGTGCTTGGCACAGGTAAAAAGTGACTAAAGTGGCACAATGGGGTTAGATTACAGTTTAGGATTTATTTTACTTACCCATTTAAAAAAAAAAAAAAAAAGGACTTTGCAGGCAAATAAAACCTTCACCAAGCAGTCAATAAAATGTCAGGACAATCAGAACCAAGCATTTCCAAAGTACCCAGCCAGGTCCAGGACAATGATTAGCAAAATTGTACGACTTTCATGTGTGAAAGTCTCAGTAATTTAAAATGATGTTCTACTTTTTTTTTGGCATTTGGTGTTCTGTAATATAATTTAAATGAAAATCCAGGATTATAACTGGAATGCAGGGTATTACTTACCAAGTGACTTTTTTTCTGTATTGTAGTTTAAATAAATTACCAAAACAACTGAAACTGGTGCGATTATATTGCATTATTTTGACAAACAAAATTTGCAGACTTTTTAATTTTGAGGCGCAGAATCCCCCCAGGTGGAACATGTATTTCCTTAAAGGGTGGGGTTTTCTCCAAGAAATAAAGGTGGGCCTTAATGAATTTGTCATACAACAGAAAGTTGGCAAAAGTAAAAGTGGAACTATACATCTATAGAAACTGATATTGTACCTCAGCAGCACCTAACCTTTACCCCTCAGCCTACCTCACCTACCTTCATGATTTCCTCTGCTTCTCCCTCAAGAGTGACTGTGTACATGGACAACAGGAGGTTCTCTGTTATTACCACCAAAACATCCCTCTTCTCCATGATCAGGAGCTTTTGGATTGGACTGTTTGTGCTCAATGCATGGCTTGTCTTTCCTTTTTCATTCACGTAATGCACAGACCCTGCAGTAAACACAAGCTAGTTACATACTGTTCTGTTCCAAGACACCTGTAAACCACAAAAATTAATGATCAATAATGTTAATGGTCTGACAAACCCACAAACAGAAGTTATTCAGAGGCAAGGCTACACAGAAAAAAAGCCTTGCTTAATCTTGGTTAAGGTTATTCTGTTCTACTTTAATAACAACATATTCCTCAAATGCTGAAAAGCTAGCAAATACACAGTTAAGGTCAACAACCACATTTTTATTTCTCTTCTCATACACTGTTGGAGTTAAAATAGTATAGTAGTTTATACAAGAAGGACACATGTAAAAAGTTGTTCTCTTTTCTTCAAAGAAATCCAAAAACTAAAAGCTTATCTTAAAAGGAGGACATCTACCTTTAATGTGTGTGTCCTTCTTGTCTGTATGGTCCTAGTTAGAGATGCAGGATAGTTTCTGAAACCTTGGATATTAGCAATGTGTTGTGAAAAGACAATATTAAAACGGTAAACATTTTATATTGGTGTAGTTAGAGAAAAAGTTTGGTTGTTGACCATAACTATGTATTTGTAGGAGGACAATGTTATTAAATTAGAACAGAGCAATCTAACTTACATTAAAACAGTTTTTTCCAATGTGACTTTCCTTAGTTTTTAAAGAAGCAATGTAAATTGGAAATGAAAAATGAAAAGCAAATACAGTGCCTTACAGAAAATAATGACAGTCAATAACAGCAGCTGCAGCAAACATTCAACTATGGAGAAATGTCAACCTTAGATTAAATGTGGCCCTGACAACTTGTTTAATCTGCTGTCATGTGTGAAACTCATATGACACTACCTAGAAAAGAAAGTTCCCATTAGTTAATGCAGTGCTTTCAGAATGGCAGTGCTGAAGTTAATACCGAAATATTAAATGAGACATTGGAATCTGACAAATCTGCTCCCATGTATAGACACAGATCACTGCCTAGCAAACACTATCATATCATTAATGTAGCACTTTCATATTGGGGCAGATCAAGTTAATAATTAAATAATAAAATTTTTCCCAAAAATTCTAAAACAGTAAACTATAAAAGTGGTTTTTGTGTAAACTACTAATATACATAAGTTTAGAGTAGAATCTCCATGTGTGCTCTTTGCAAAGGAGTTCTTAAAAAAAAAAAAAAAATAGTAAGACACTAGAGACCCAATTACAAAAGCCATTTGTTTTTATTTCCATTTTGTTTTATTTTTAAATACACTACACCTTCCAAATTCCAACTGCACAGAAAATTAAAAGCCCTGCTACACTCACAGTTTTATTCCAGAAAAAAACTGAAACAAACAAACACTTAGTAAATATTCTCTTTCTCCTCTCTTGTTAAATACCGTTCTTTAATGCAACCTTTATTATGGCTTCACTACCACCCCACCATAATATTTTGTATTTATCTCTCACTTTCCACAGGAGGATCTCAACTCATTTTACAAGCAGCAAGCTTCACAATACCCCTTCAAGAAGGCATATATAGGGAACATTGCAACTACCTCTAGTGTTCAACATGGCAGCTGTCAGTGCACAGCAACACTAGATAAGAGTTCAGGATCAGAGTCTAAAATGAGTTCCATGTAGGCAGACCCCTGCACATAAAGTCCCATTAACCTAAATGGAGTATGTTTGCACAGAGCTCGTCCAGGTTCAGGGCTTTAGCCATGAAATGGAGAACACTGTATAAAATTGAAATCGCAAGGGGAATTTAGTTAGGCAGCATGTAATTATCCCAGTTGTAATTTGGCCAGGATACTGGGGTTAGTGACATTATTCTGTTGAAAGTTCCATAGGATCTTTAATGACAATAAATGGTCAGTTTTTAGATCTCATCTTGAATTGTGTACTTAAGTTATTCTGTTGCACTTGGCTACTGCAACACAAAGCATCAACTTTCATATGCTTAAGACCACCCACTGTTTCAAGGTCCTCTCCAGTAGCAAGAGAAAGGGTTAGTTAAGCTTTTTAATTGAATTTTAAGAAAGCTTTTCACTATAGTGTCACACAAAAAGACTATTCTAAAAAAAGTTATCAAGTGCTCAGCTAATTGAGTGGATAAAGGAACTGGGTTAGACTCTAAAGACAAAGGATAGCAGAGAGTGGATACTGTTCAGGGGGGAGGTATATTAGGATGAATATTGTTCTCTTCTCTATTAATGGCCTGGAAGAGACAAAAACGTAAAATAAATTAATGATGTCTTCAAAGAATACACAACAAGGGTGCATTCAGTACAGGTCAGGATACCTTGAACAGACTAGGGCCTGGATATAAAACATTTTGGAAATCTCATATCAGACTTCTACATAAGTGCACCAATCACCCGTAGCATGCAGCCATGACAACAATTCTGTGTAAGACATTATGAAAGAGAGAGTTGTTGGTAAATTTCAAGTGTTAAAATATCTTTGCTTTAGACGAACTCTCTCATATAAGGTCTGATAACTGAATTTTGTAGATTATTTTACCATGGTGATGAGAGCTTTAGAAATGTTTGTAATACATCTATTCCAGGCAAGTAAAAAAGCACAAAAAAATAAACATTTCAAATGTTGTTAATTTGTCATTTATTTTAATTACAAAAGGCACTCCATAGTCTCCACTAACATCTCACTGCATTTTTTTTTTTAAAAATAGAGCCATTATGGATTAATGAATGCAAAAAAGCGTGGGTTACTCACCTTACGCAGTAACGGAGGTTCTTCGAGATGTGTGTCCCTGTGGGTGCTCCACTTCAACAGCGCCAGGACACATTGACACCTGATCCGAGATTTTTGGTAGTAGTGCCTGGTCGGGGCACACGTGCACAGTAGCTGTCTTGCAGTGCTGGTGGCACCTCATCTAGCACGCGCACAACTGAACCCCATCAGTTCTCTATCTACCATGGAGTCTTTAATACGAACTCCAAAGTAGAGGGGAGGAGGGTGGGTAGTGGAGCACCTACAGGGACACACATCTCGAAGAAGAGAAGGTACATCTTGTACAGTATCTGAGGTTCTTCAAGTGCTGTCCCTATGGGTGCTCCACTTCAGGTGATTGAGGAGTAGTGCCCTACTGAGGATGGATGGGCTTTGGAGTTGTATGCATAGTTGAAGTTAGCGCTGTTAGGCCTAGTATTGCATCTGAGCCTGAGCTTTGCCTTACTGCATAGTGATTCATGAATGTGTGTTGTGAAGCCCAAGTGGCGGCTCAAAATATTTCTGTGATTGGTACGTTATTCAAAAAGGCTGTTGAGGTCAATACTTATCTCATTAAATGGGCTCTGATCCCTGTCGGGGGTTCTATTTTTTGTTGATAGCATAGATGGAAGCAATTGGAGATCCATTTTGAAAGTCTTTGTTTTGATATTGCAGATCCCTTTGATCATCCAGTCGTGGAGATGAAAAGTCTTGGTGATTTTTGGAATGGTTTTGTTCTATGTAGGTAGAATGCTAAAGCATGTCTAACGTCTAGAGTGTGGAGGACTGTCTCTTGTGTAGTCCTGTGTGGTTTAGGGTAAAACATAGGTAAGTGAATTGGTTGGTTGAAATGAAAGGATGTTATCTTAGGGACAAATTTTGGGTGTGGTCATAGCGTCACTGTCTTTGAAGAATATGGTGTGTGGAAGGTGGGCCACAAGAGGCCCTATTTCACTTACTCTTTGCATGGATGTAATCGTGACCAGGAATGCTACCTTCATTGATAGGTGCAGTAGGGAACAAGTAGTAAGTGGTTCAAATGGTGCTTTGATAAGGCCTCTGAGGACCAGGTTTAGATCCCATGCCGGTGTGGGTACATTTCTGGGTACATGTTCTGTATACCTGTGAGGAAACACTTTGTGATCAGGTGTGTGAATACTGAGATACCATCAATCTTATGATGGAAAGCAGTTATGGCTGCGAGGTTTACTTTAACTGAACTTGTGGACAGTCTTGATTTTTTTAAATTCTACTATGTACTCAAAGATCAAATGAATTGGTGCTGTAAGCATGGTTATGTGTTTGTTTTGGCACCATATGGAGAACCTCTTCCATTTCTGGAGGTAAGTGGTACGAGTGGATGTCTTTCTGCTGTTTAGTAATATCGGTTTAACCTGTTCGGAGCAGGTTAATTCGGCATGTTGGAGTCAGGGAGGAGACACGCCTTCAAGTGAAGTTTCTCCAGGTCCAGATGCAGGACTTGACCTTCGTCTTGTGAGAGAGGATCCCATCGCCGAGGGAGCGTGTATAGTGTGCAGATCGCCATGAGTCTCAGGTATGGGAACCATGTCTTTCTGGGCCATGTCAAGACTATAAGTATGACCTTGGCTCTGTCCGTTTGTATCTTGTGTATTACTCTGGAGATTAACGGTATCGGTGGGAATGCATACAGGAGAGGTGTGTTCCATCTGATGAGAAAGGCATCCCCTAGGGATTGTGTTCCCAGTCCTGCTCGTGAGCAAAACCTTGGACATTTTTTGTTTCATTCAGTCGCAAATAAGTCCAAGTGTGGGAACCCCCACATGTGGAATATGTGTTGTGTGATGTTGTCGCTCAGTTCCTACTTGTGTTCTTGGGGAAACTGTCTGCTTAATGTATCCGCCATCATGTTCTGTCAACCTGGGAGGTATGATGCTGTAATGGTGATTTTGTGCTTTATGCACCCAGTTCCATAGTTTTATGGCTTCTGTGCCTAGGGAGTGAGATCGTGCTCCACCCTGTCAGTTTATGTAGAACATATATGCCATGTTGTCCATCATGATTCTTATTGTTTTGTTCCTTATTATTGGGAGGAAATGGATACACGTGTTGCAAACCGCACGTAATTCGAGCAGGCTGATGTGTAAATGTGTCTCTGTGGGCGACCACTTCCCTCACATTGTATGTTAGTTCAAGGGAGCACCCCAGCTGATCAGTGAGGCATCTGTTGTGATCAGTATGGATGGTGGATCCTGCTGAAATGGGATCCCTGAGCATACATTTCTTGGACTTGTCCACCATTTTAAGAAGTGTTGGACTTTTGATATTAGTGTTAAGCTTTTGTTCAGGCTGTGCTTTCATGGTATGGATACCGAGCTCAGCCATCCCTGTAGGCAGCACATATGTAGTCAAGCATGTCTTACTACAAAGGTAGTGGCCACCATATGTCCCAATAGTTGTAGGCTGGTACATGCTGATACCCATGGGCTGTTTGTGACCACTGATATGAGAGTGGTCAGTGCTGAGAATCTGGTCATTGGTAGTGATGCTTCGGCCTCTATTGAGTCCACATGTGCTCCAATGAAGTCCAATTGTTGTACTGGGGTTAGAGTAGATTTCTGTTAGTTTATTTGTAACCCTAGGGTGTGAAAGAGGGCGATAGTCCAGGTATTTGTGAGACAAGGATGCATGTCCCTGGTAAGCTGTTCTCTTGATCTTGTGGGACATTGGTGGTCTGGTGCCTGACGGTGAGGAGTGATCTGATGAGAAGACTGCCTCTTCAAGGTCATCCTCATCTTTGCTTGAAAATGGTGGAGCAGTGGGGGATTCCGGCTGGTCCAGTGCCGTTGGTACTGGCGAGCCGTCGGTGCCGAACAGCGGAGATCTGGGGGTAGACACTACTTCCATGTCTACTTTCTGTGTAAGAGGATGCGGTGCTGCTGTTTTTGATGTCGTGTCTTTCTGTGCTGACACATTAGGTGGTAGCTTGGTCGGTGCTGTTCATTTGTATGTGGCCTTAGTCAGTGCCAGTGGTGCCACCCTTGAATTCTCTGTTGACGGTTCCGATGAAGTCGGTGCGGGCAGAGGGGGCATCGCCAATGGCAAAGGTTGTGGTACTGTGTCCTTCATAGGAATAGTTGGTGCCGTGGAGGAGGAGGCTGGTTTGTGCCTACCACTCGACTCCTTTCCCCTGCTGGCAGAAGTCCCGGTATGGAGGGTGCCGGAAGCGCCTGGTGCCTCAAAGATACTCACACTGCCTGAGGTTGGCACCGTGGGTAGAGATCTCACCAGAGACCGGTTTTTTTAAATGGTTCTCTGTTTGGGGAAGATGTGGCCATTTTCTCAGTTTTGTGGAGGAAAGGGTACTAGCTCTGTCCACAGAGGATGTGCCCTGAGAGTCCCTTGTCGAGGGTTATCTGGGGTCTCAAGTAGGCGTAAGAAACTCATTTTAATAGAGAAATTCAAGTCGGAGATCTGTCTCTCCTCACTCAAGTTTTGAGAATACTGCTGTGAGCGAACTTTTGTGATATGTGCGACTCACCTAAGCAGTGAATGCATAGTGAGTGCCCATCCGAAATAGGTATTGATTCCTTGTACGAAGTGCATCTTTAAAAACCTGAGGAGCCAGGCATATTTTTAACAGCCCTCGTAGCGCTAATTTGGGACTGGCAGAATGGAGGATTTTTTTAAAAAATTTTTTTGAGGAATGAACTGTCTAACTAAGACTAACTGAAACTTAACACTAAGTGAACCAACTAATTACGACAAACTGAGGCTTACCTAAACAATCTAATGTTATCTACTTCTTTTCTAGGTTTTCTTCAACACCACTACAGAGCTCAGTCTCAGGCTGAGGATGGTTGAGAAGGAACTGAATGGGTTGGGTTGTATGCGCGCTACGTGAGGCGCCAATGGTGCTATGAGACAGCTATTGAGCACACGCGCCCCGACCAGGCACTGCTACTGAAGATCTCTGATCAACAGCGCCAGGACACACCAACACCTGAAGTGGAGCACTCACAGGGACAGCACTCAAAGAAGAAACATATCTCTTAAAGGATATGTCTACACTGAAATTGTGGGATGTAATTGCAGCTGGTATAGACGTACCTAAACTTAGTTTTAATCTAGCTATTTTGGGTACCACAGCAGCGAAGCTGTGGCTAGATTAAAGCTAGAGCAGGTATGTCTACTCAAGATGCAGTCACACCCCATGATTACAGCATAAATATACCCAAAGTGGCCAAATTATTTTAATTTCTTCTTTTTTGAAAAGATAGCTCTTGGTCTGAGAAGCTGTTTGCTGTCAGCCTAGATAGGATTTAAAGCTAGACTTCAATAATTATCAAAACACTAACTTACACACCTCTACCCCTATATAACGCTGTCCTCGGGAGCCAAAAAAATCTTACCGCATTATAGGTGAAACCGCGTTATATCGAACTTGCTTTGATCCACCAGAGTGCGCAGTCCCGCCCCCCCGGAGCGCTGCTTTACCGCGTTATATCCAAATTCATGTTATATCGGCTCGCGTTATATCGGGGTAGAGGTGTAATGGAAACAGTAAGAGACCACTACCTAGAATGGCACATGTATATTCCTGAAACAAACAAACTATTTAAATGAGTCGGGCAAGCAGAATTTGGCCCCTAATTTGGAGTTTAGATAGCATATCAAAGAAACAAAGGGAAAATGTGAGAAAACACACACACTTGCACAATGAGGAGTTTGTCGCTAGGTGGAGCGGTGTATCATTGTAATGGTTGCTCTAAAGACAATTCTCAGTGTAAAGCTAAATTCCCCTGCAAATGGAATTTAAAACACATCACTGTTCAAAGATGTTTCTTCTCCACTAAAAGGATGTCACCATTTTGATCTATTAAGGAACTGCTGTCAGTGTCATTTACTGTTTCACTTTCCTAGAATTCACTATGGTGTTGCCTATTCAGATAATAAATAATTAAAAAAACAGACATCGAGAGATCTCAAAAACACTTTACAGAGGAGCTCAGTATCATTAGCCCCATTTTACAGCTAGTGAAACTGAGGCACAGAGAGGGAAGTTAGTTGCCCAAGGTCACCCAGCAAAGCAGTATCAGATATTGAACCCAGGACTCCAGAATCCCAGTCCACTGCCCTATCCACTAGGTCATGCTGCCTCCCCAGTATTGCTGATCAATGCTATTTTCAAGTAATCCATCTAAATGAATTAAATAATGCCATTTTATATCAACAAATCCAATTACATGATGGTCAAAATGCCTGAGTCCTATCTCCAGTATAGTTTCCACCATTGCTACCACCACTTGTGGTGAACCAGTGTTGAATTAGGAGTCCCATTTTTGCCAGTGTAGATGCAGCCTTGCAGACAGAACCACGACTCTATTGGGAGATTAGCATAAATTAACTGACAACTCTGGGGATCTAGTTAATCTGCTTTTGGAGGGCAGCACTCATATTTACTGGTCACCAGCCCACCCTTCAAAACACTCTTCAGCTGTATAAGGAGGATCTTTTCTGGTCCTGGGCCAGTAGGCAGGAGATTTAGAGAGAGGGGAGCAACTGGGCTAGAGAAAGAAAAAGATGAGGGGAAAAAATCCACTAGAAGTGAAAACAGGGAAGAAAGATGTTAAAGAAAAGATTTTGGGGGAGGGGATGGGGAGATCACATGAAGCAAATTAGTCTAAGGGAAAATACAGACACTAAAAAAAAGACTGAATAGATGCATCATGCTATAGAAGGAAAAGTGAAAGAAGAAAAAAAAGGGAGATATTAAGATTTATAATTTGAATAGAAAATATGCTTTAGACATCATTTAACATTGGTGGTTTAGCTGGTTCTAGCAACCACACAAAGTATTAATTATTTTCTATCTTTGGAAAGGAAGGGGACAAAATAGCTTCTCTCTAGTTCTGACCTCTTTTGGATGGTACAGATTACCCTCATTTTCTTTCTGAAAAGAAAAACAGGCATAGACCAGGCTGTGATTAATCAAGTCCACTCAAAGGGGTAGAGTATATTCCTTCAATGGAATAACCACTGAGTTTACAGCAGTGCTTGAGGCTACCAGCTCTATTCTAACAGGAAAATCCCTCATGCAAAATAAGAAAATAACTTTTGATACCTCTTTCTGACATTACTAGGAATCAGCTATTTCCACTTCTGATGTCATCACAGCCACTACCCTTCCAAACATTTATCCTGCTCCCAAAACTTCCAATCCCAACAGGACTGGTCCTGAAGAAGGATGTTGTACAGAGAACTCACTCTGAAGATGTTAGGATTTTCATGACTTTATACACTTCATCTTACTAGGTGTTTTATTTCCCCCTAAGAATAATCTGTGCAACAGCACAAGTGAAAACAAGACCACCTTACACTGAAGAGTTTTGAAAACATTAAAGAGACTACATTTCCCAACAGACTGCAGGGTTTGTTTGTTGGGGTTTTTGTTTTTCTTACCATCAGTCACACTGATGAAGAAGGACAACCCCTCCTGGGGTCCCACTTTCAGAGGCACTCCGATTCCAGCTTTTCTCCAGTTAAACATATCCAGGGCCTTCTCATCACCACTCACCGCTGCTTTGGCTAGCTGTACCAGGTCCCTGCAGGCAACCAAAAGGCATTTCATTTCCAGCTCCCTATTTGGCACAGAACTTTTTAATCCAGAAAAAATGGATGGGGATTCCCACTAACAAAATGTGGCAACTATTCATGATGGAGAGATCTTTCACACTCAGCTCAGCAGAGATATTGGAATCCTCAAATGTATTCAATATGATTTAATCTCTATCATGACTTAGTATTATTTCCTGCTTATAGAAGGATATTCAGGGGGGTTCCCAGTATACATCTCCCCCTTATCCGTTGTTTTGCATAACGTCGCTCGTCAATAGGAGAATGTGTTCCGATTCACGTCGGTCCCGCATAGCCGTAGTTTGCAGTACTACAGTACTATACTATAAGTTGCAAACGACGGATATGCGGATCGGGAGCAATCTGAATCGGAACACGTTCCCCTATTGATGAGCGACATATGCAACAGATATGCATAGCCACGGGTGGGCTGCGGCCCACTCACTTAACATCCAGGCTCCCTCCCCCCCCCAATCCCAACTCTGCTCCCACCACAGCGCTTTCCCCACACTGCCCGGCTGGCGCTCCAGCCGGAGAGCAGGGTCGGAGCGTGGGGGCTTGCCAACCTCTGGAGCTCCAGCCATGGAGTGGTGTCGGGGGCTTGCCTTGCTCCGCTCGCCCGGCCCTCCTGACAGGGAGTGGGGTCGGAGCACAGGGGCTTCCAAGCCCCCGACCCCCATTCCCATGCCCCACTCGGGGCAAGCCCCTGCGCCCCAACCCTGCTCCCCAGCAGGAGTGCCAGGAAGCATAGCAGGGCAAGCCCTGAGCACCGGGGGAGCTGGTGGGGTTGCACACATTTTTACAGGGCTCCCCATTTTCCGGGAGCCCCTGGCCAGAGCGTTTATTCCCCCCACCCCTGCAAGGCCCGCTGGAGGAGGGGGAGAGGGAGCCTGATCGCTCCTACCCCTCCGCTCCCCTGTCATTGCATGCCCACCCAAGTGTCCCCCTCCTGTCTACGCCACTGGTGTACAAGCGGGTCCCCAATACAAGTCATTTCGGTATCCATCACCCTTTTCAAGAACGCAACCCCAATCTATACTGGGGACCCACTGTACATTTAAAATCATCGTATTTAGTATAAATCACATCTGTTAACATGATCACAGGCAGTCCTGCTGCCAGTCCTCTGAAATATCAACATTATTGCTTGCTGGAGTTGTGAAAGCTAGCAGCAACGGGGAAGAGAGGAAGGGGACCTGGATCCGTGCAGAGGAAAGGGAGTCAGCAGCAGGAGCTGGAAGAAGGACCTGGAACCAAAGGAAAGGCACAGAGATAGCAATGGGAAAAAGAGCTTAGAAGAGTGCCGATTGGTGGGGGGGAAGGGGTGGAGAGAAGAGAGATGATAGTTGGAAGAAAAGAAAAGGAGAAAAGCCTGGAACCATACATGCATAAGGAAGCTGGCAGGGGAATGGGTTCAAAAGGGTGTCTGAATCTGGGGAGGAGGAAGATCTGGGACCAGAGGATGAGGAAGAAATCAGCAGGGAAGGGTGTTGGAAACAAGCCAGAAGGTGTGTGCAGTGGGATGGCAGTCGCGGGAGAAACTAGGGACTAGGCAGAAGAAGGGTGGTCTGAGAGCTAGGCTGGGAGATAGGAGGATCTGGTTGTAGGAGAGAGAGTAAAGGGCACTCATAGTGGGGTGATATAGGAGGCAGCAGGTAATTGTGCTTTGCATTTAAGGCAGATAAGCACTACTGATGGCTGGAGCAGTTAGGAGGAGCCACTACAAGGTGTGTGTGTTTGGATTTCCATGGGAACGCTGTGCAACAAACCTAATAATAAGAAATCCCCAGCCCTAAAGAGAGAGACATAGTCTAGAAGAGTTCCAATTGGGGCATTTTCACTTACTCGCCAGGAGATGGAGGCCGAAAGATACAGTGAGAAAGATACTTCCCATACTCATGTTTCAATAAAGGGGGGCCCTGCACTCGACCCCGCTGGTCCAGTCTCCATAGAACCAGGACTCCAAGCTGGAAGAATTGCAAAAAACATAGACCTTCCTCACAAACAGATAATAATAGGAGATGAACTACTCAATGGACATTAAATAATCACTTCAGGCAATATCTTTTTCTGATAACATGGTATTTTTCTCTTATTTAGTACCTTTCATCTTTATTTTTTAATATGTAGGTAAGATTATCCCCCTTTCCGAGGTGGCAAAGACTTCAAGTGACTTTTTAAATGATGGCATTTCATTGTTTATTTAAAATGAAGCTGTTTGGAAAAGTGCCTAAATTACTTCCATTCTTAATGAAAAGGACATTGCTAAGTCTGGCAGGTCTACAATTGGACCAACCTTGTTTTGTTCTGCACATATGCACCAAGACACATGCACTTGCATGTACTCATCATACCCCATACCCCTTTTTTCTTCCTAGTGAGCAGTCAGGTTACTAAAACTAACAAGAATCCAGCTCTAGAACTCTTGTTAGTTTCAATCCACTGCCTATTTTCAAGGCCAAGCAGGCAAGCAAAGCAAAAGCACACATGATCAGAGAAACACAGTCATTATTTATGGATTTCCCAGCACAGAAGAGAGAATTTTAGAAATGTTGCAACACTTTAAAAAAAAAAAAAAAAAAAAAAATCAGGGTGAGTGTATAGTGAGGACTGATTCATTTTTAGGATCAGAAAAATTTTAAAATGACATTCTCAGAAGTTGAGAGAACCATAAGAGAAGTTAAAGAAGAAAAACACTCATTAGGTCATTAGTTATGTAGTCCACGTCACAGGAGTCAATGCAAAATTGTTCCTCAGAGCCCATTTTCTAGCATTTCATCCAGTCTAGTTTTAAGTGTCTCAACCAATGGGCCTTCATTATTTTTCTTGCGAGACTGTTCCACAGTCTAATAGAGCTCACTGTCAAGAAGTTTTTTTTTCTGATATTCAGCCTAAACTTTCCCTTTAATTCCCATTATACCTGCTTGCTCCACCCAAAACCACATTTCACTCTTCTTGGCATTTTTCACCTCATCAAATATTTGAAGACTGCTAGCATGTTTTATTATGAGCTTATATTATAAGCTTGTGAAGCTTGAAATCTCCCATTCTGAAACCAGTTTACTGCCAACATTATGTAGCCATTTGAAATACAGAGCTTTTATTTACTCTCTTCTCTGTCCAAACAACATACAACTGCTTCTACCTCTCCCCCTTGCCCCCAGGCCATGCATATCAAATAAGTAACACCACTTATGGCTCTCCTTCCTTCTAGAAAAGAAGTGTCCAAAAGTGAATGCATGTTCACAAGCACTACACATGTGTGTATGATAACAAAACAGTGATCCAATTGCGCAAGCTGCATGAACTCAGTAACATGCTGCCCACAGCACCTCTCCAGTCCCATAAATATTTAAATCACAGGAACATCAAAATCTAATTAACTAATTTAAATCAAATGCTTGCCATTGCAAGATTTAACAATGACAAAGTTGTTGGGCCCTAATTCTGACACAGCTTTCTCAAGATATGCATTTTAATAAAACATACCCCTTTATCAGAGAAAATATATTAGCTTCTAAACAAGAGAGCCAACAGTTGATAAACAAAATAAGTCTGAGTTGCTGGTTCTATTTGGACCAAGAATACAGGCAGACAATGATTCAAGTACAGGTATTGTGCTGAACCTCAGACCCTGGCCCAGTTTTTGCAAATTGGCAAAGAGTTGAAATTGAGAAGAATTCTGCAGTCTGAAGCACTCCAGTTTTGGATACCTATCAATTTCAACCCTCTGCTGAGTGGAAAAATGGAGCAAACAGAGAAGCAGAGGAACAATGCAGCATGACATGTACATTCACAATCCCCAAAAGCTGACATATGATACCAGCTTTGCAGCTGGAATTTTAAGATTATTTATTATTTCTATTATGGTAGTACCTGGCGTGCCCAGTTGCAATTGGGGGCCCACTCTGCTAGGCAATGAACAAAAACAGAATAAAAATGTATCATTTAAACTGCAATCTCATTTCATTAAGACAAATTACAGTGAAGGGTTGTAACGATGCTGGTTCTGGTGGGACCCAACTGAGAGTACCAATTCAGGACAAATTGCTTAAAGCAGGGCAGTTACAGCCCAAAGCTGGAGTTCCTTTACTATTAAGGCAAACCAAACCAGCCAAACAGAGAAGACTTCGGTTTTACCCCACTGGCTAACCATAAGTCATACAAGCAATTCCCTTAGACACTCCAGTTTCCCAGTATCACCACCAGTGCTACTCGTTATGGGGTTGAATGGCTATGAAAACCAATACCCCAGTGAACAAAAAAAGGTTCTCACGATCCCAAAGGACCAGGCCCCAGACCCAGGTCAATATACAAATTAGACCTTACCCACAAATCACACGGTTGCCAATTCTTTAGAATCTAAAATCTAAAGGTTTATACATACAGTAATAGCAAAGTTCTTGATTCAGGCTTATAGCAGTGATAGAATAAACTGCAGGTTCAAATCAAATCTCTGGAGTACATCCACAGCTGGGATGGGTCATTCAGTCCTTTGTTCAGAGCTTCAATTTGTAGCAAAGTCTCTCCAGAAGTAAAAAGCAGGACTGAAGACAAGATGGAGATGAGGCATAAGCCTTTTAGTCTCCTCCAGGTGTAAGAACACTTCTTTCATAGAATATCAGGGGTGGAAGGGACCTCAGGAGGTCATCTAGTCCAACCCCCTGCTCAAAGCAGGGCCAATCCCCAGACAGATTTTTGCCCCAGATCCCTAAATGGCCCCCTCAAGGATTGAACTCACAACCCTGGGTTTAGCAGGCCAATGCTCAAACCACTGAGCTATCACTCCTCTTACTGTGGAGAATTACAGCAAAAATGGAATTTGGGATCACATGGGCAAGTCACATGTCCATGCATGACTTAGTTCTTTACAGGCAGCAGCCATTGCTATCTTGACCATCCCCAGGTAGACTTCTTATGTGGATTGGAGTCTTCCAAGATCCATTGTCAGTTAAGTGTTTCTTGATTGGGCACTTAATTTGCAAAATTCCTTTCTCAAGAAGCTGACCAAATGCTTTACTAAGGCCTTGGCTACACTTGCGGTTGCAGCGCTGTAAAGCCGCCCCCAGCGCTGTAACTCACTCCCCGTCCACACTGGCAAGGCATTTGCAGCGCTGTATCTCCGTGGTTGCAGCGCTGCATGTACTCCACGTCCCCGAGAGGAATAGCGTGTATTGCGCTGCCGCTGCAGCGCTGCGGCGCCAGTGTGGCCGCCCAATGTGCTGTGACTGGCCTCCAGAAGTATTCGGCAGTATCCCACAATGCCTGTTCTAGCCACTCTGGTTATCAGTTCAAACTCTACTGCCCTGGCCTCAGGTAACCAACCATGTGACCCACGCTTTACATTCCCCGGGAATTTTAAAAATCCCCTTCCTGTTTGCTCAGCCCGGCGTGGCGTGGAGTGCTATCAGCGAATCCTTCCAGGTGACCATGCCTCCACGCACCAAGCGAGCCCCAGCATGGAGCAATGGCGAGCTGCTGGACCTCATCAGTGTTTGGGGGGAAGAAGCTGTCCAGTCCCAGCTGCGCTCCAGCCATAGGAATTACGATACCTTCGGGAAGGCATCAAAGGACATGATGGAAAGGGGCCATGACCGGGACGCCCTGCAGTGCAGGATTAAAGTGAAGGAGCTGCGGAGTGCCTACCGCAAAGCCCGCTACGCAAACGGCCGCTCGGGTGCTCCCCCCGCAACCTGCCGATTCTACAAAGAGCTGGATGCGATACTTGGGGTTAACCCCACCTCCACTCCGAGCACCACCATGGACACTTCAGAGCCGGTGTGGGGGGGAGGAGGAGGAGGAGGAGGAGGAAAACGGGAGTGAGGGTGGTGGACCGGATGGAGACACCCCGGAATCCCTGGAGCCATGCAGCCAGGAGCTCTTCTCGAGCCAGGAGGAAGGTAGCCAGTCGCAGCGGCCGGTATTTGGTGGAGGACAAACAGAAGAGCAGGTTCCCAGTAAGCGGGTTTTTTTTCAGGAAGGAATTTTTTCGGTGCGGGCTCTTTGGGAGAGGAGGGTTAGGCATGCATGCCTAGATGCGGAATAGTGCATTGATGTGGTTTATCATATCGCGGTAATTGGCCTCGGTAATCTCCTCGAATGTCTCATCCAGAACGTGTGCAATGCGCTTGCGCAGGTTTATCGGGAGAGCCACTGTGGTCCTTGTCCCAGCCAGGCTAACGTGTCCGCGCCACTGTGCTGCGAGGGGCGGGGGGACCATTGCTGCACACAGGCAAGCTGCATATAGGCCAGGGCGGAAGCCGCATTGCAGTAGAAGACCCTCCCTTGCTTCCCAGGTCACCCTCAGCAGCGAGATATCGTTCAGGACGAACTCCTGTGGAAAATGTTGGGACAGTGTTCAGTGTAGGTGCCCCCTGCAGCTGTTGGCTCTCCCCAAGGCACAGAAACCCAGAGGACAGTGCAGCCCTGAAACAATCAGTCCCCCTTACTCACCATTTTGAGGCTCCCGTAGGATGTGTGCTCTGTTTCGGAAGGGAAAATTATGCTATTGTGTAGACCCTGTGTGTTTTCTACTCCTTAAGTGTGGGGGGAATCATTACTCTGTCTGGTATAAACAATGCTGCCTCTGTTAAATGTTGCATTTTGCCTATACAGCTGCATCAACCTTGAGACCTCAGCCGTCCCTCTTATCGCCTGCTCAGAGACTGCAAAGACTCAGGAACAGACCGCGAAAAAGCAAAGAAGACATGCTGCAAGAAGCGATGTGGCAACCTATTAAAGAGAATGAGAAAGCACAGAACTGGAGGAAAACGCAGCGCACCGGCAGCAAAGCACGGAGCACCGGCAGCAAAGCACAGATCGGCTCATAAGCATCCTGGAGCGCCAAGCAGACGCTATCCAGGAGCTCGTAGCCATGCAGAAGGAGCAGTACCGCAAGCGCAAACGCCACACCCCCCTACAGCCCTTGTCCCAAAACTCTTTCCGTTGTGCCCCAGTCACCTCCAAC